GGACAGTGCCACCTGGCGCCTTCCCATTTGGTTAAAAGGAAGATGTGGCTACCCAACAGCAGGCCCCTCTCAGAGTCAGTGCACTCAAGGCCATCCTATGGGCGGCGTGGACCTCCCAGGATCCCTCCTGTGCTGCGGTGGCAAACCCGGGACCCTTCAGGAGTAGTAGCTACAGCAGGGGATCTTTCCATGGGCGGCGACGACCCTAGGGCTCCCAGGATCATCGTCGACCACAGGGTCCCTTCCAGGACGTCGAACCCCTCAGGGGCCCTACCAGAGGCGCCATTTATGAGCTCTATAGCCTTTGGTCTTTTCTCGAGATATTGTATACGGCCACACAACTCTCATTTAACTGTGATTGGTGGACTAAAATGTAAAATACCAAAGTTAGCCAATAGAGAACAGAATAGCTGAAGTCACAGTAACACCCCAACTTATGTTTTCCTGTTGATATTTATTCTTACATTGTTCATGAGGCTGCATACTTGGAAAGTTGGGCGGTGTATTTATTTAACGCCTCACATCTCACATTGCTTGAATGGTGGAAAACAAATGCTCCTGGAACCCCATGGGACATGCCACTGGCGCTTCCTTCCCATTTGCTGTACAAGATGCGGCTACCCACTCAGGGGTCCTTCCTCAGGAGTCAGCGCACTGAGGCCATCCCAGGGGCGGCGGAACTCCCAGGATCCCTCCCACCCATGTGGTGGCAACCCAGGCCTCCCAGAGTAGTAGCTACTCAGGGGACCTCCTGAGGCGGCGATGTCCCTTAGGGGCCTCCCACAGGTGGCAAAGTGACCCCAGGAAAGCAATCCCAGGGGCATGCCGGGTGAGGACCCTCCAAGGTCAACAAAGACCCAAGAGGCTCCTCCTAGGGGCTGCAGCGAAGACCCAGGGGCCCTCTCTAGTGGTGCCTGCTAAACCCAGGAGCCTCCCAGGACGGTAGCAACCCAAGGGGCACCTTGCAGGGATGGCAGTGGTGACCCCAGAGGCTCCCAGTGACCACTGGCGGACTACAGATCTTCCAGGGGACGTCGAACCCCCAGGGCCCACCAGAGGTGCCATCCCATGAGCCCTGAGTAGCTTGCTTGGTAGTTTTGTCGCAATATATTGCATACGTCACGCAATCCCTCATTTAACTGTGATTGGTGATTAAAATGTAAAAAATACTAAAGTTAGCTAATAGGAAACAGAGCAGTCAGTCAGCACAACACCCCAACTTATGTTTTTCCTGTTGGATATTTATTCTTACATTGTCTATGAGGCTATGATACTGAAAAGCGTTGGGCTGTGTATTTATTTAACGTCATATCATCATTGTTTTAGCGGCAAAACAATCGCCTTCAATCTCTACGACAGTGCAAGTGCCACCAAGCTTCCCATTTGCTGTACAAGATGCGGCTATCCACCACGGGCCCTCTCAGGGGAGTCAGCGCACTGAGGGGCCATGTCAGGGGCTGTGGAACACCCAGTATCCTTCCCAACGGCGGCGGCAAACCCAGGGGCCCTTCCAGGAGTGGTAGCTACCGCAGGGGACCTCCCAGGGGCGGCGACGACCCTATGCGCTCTCCCAGAGGCGGTAGCGACCCCAGGGGCCATCCCAGGGGCAGCCCCACCGAAAGAGGACCCTCCAAGGTCAGCAAAGACCCAAGAAGCCCTCTCAGGGGCAGCGGCTACCCCAGAGGCTCTCTCAGGGGGGGTGCCAAATCCAGGAGCTCTCCTAGGGACGGCAGCAACCCAAGGGGCACCTGCAGGGATGGCGGTGACCCCAGAAGCTCTCCCAGGATCATCGGCGACCACAGGATCCCTTCCAGGGACGTCGGAACCCCCAGGGGCCCTACCAGAGGCGCCACTTCCCATGAGCCCTATAGCTTGCTTGGTAGTTTTGTCGTACATATTGCATACGTCACACAATCCCTTACTTAACTGTGATTGGTGGACGAAAATGTAAAAATAGCAAAGTTAGCCAATAGGAAAACAGAGCAGTCAGTCAGCACAACACCCCAACTTATGTTTTCCTGTTGGATATTTATTCTCCTTTACATTGTTCATGAGGCTATGAAACTGGAAAAGCGTTGGGCGGTGTATTTATTTAACGTCATATCTCCCATTGTTTTGAATGGTGCAAAAACAACTGCTAACTTTAACCCTACGGGGACAGTGCCACCTGGCGCCTTCCCATTTGCTGTACAAGATGCGGCTACGCACCACGGGCCCTCTCAGGGGAGTCAGCGCACTCCCGGGCCATCCCAGGGGCGGCGGAACTCCCAGGATCCCCCCCGACGGCGGCGGCAAACCCGGGGACCCTTCCAGGAGCGGTAGCTACTGCAGGGGACCTTCCAGGGGCGGCGACGACCCTAGGGGCTCTCCCAGGATCATCGGCGACCACAGGGTCCGTTCCAGGGACGTCGGAACTTCCAGGGGCCCTACCAGAGGCGCCACTTCCCATGAGCCCTATAGCTTGCTTGGTAGTTTTGTCGTACATATTGCATACGTAATGCAATCCCTTACTTAACTGTGATTGGTGGACTAAAATGTAAAAATACCAAAGTTAGCCAATAGGAGAACAGAACAGTCAGTCAGCACAACACCCCAACTTATGTTTTCCTGTTGGATATTTATTCTCCTTTACATTGTTCATGAGGCTATGATACTGGAAAAGCGTTGGGCGGTGTATTTATTTATTTAACGTCATATCTCACATTGCTTTGAATGGTGCAAAAACAACTGCTCCCTGGAACCCTACGGGGACAGTGCCACCTGGCGCCATCCCATTTGCTTTACAAGATGCGGCTACCCACCAGGGTCCTCTCAGGGGAGTCAGCGCACTGAGGGGCCATCCCAGGGGCGGCGGAACACCCAGGATCCCTCCCAACGGCGGCGGCAAACCCAGGGGCCCTTCCACGAGTAGTAGCTACTTCAAGGTACCTCCCAGAGGCGGCGATGTCCCTAGGGGCTCTCCCACAGGTGGCAGCAACCCCAGAGGCCATCCCAGGGGCAGCCGCGCTAAAAGAGGACCCTCCAAGGTCAGCAAAGACCCAAGAGGCCCTCTCAGTTGCAGCGGCGACCCCAGGGGCCCTCTCAGTGGCATTGCCAAACCCAGGAGCTCTCCCAGGGACGGCAGCAACCCAAGGGGCACCTGCAGGGATGGCGGTGACCCCAGAGGCTCTCCCAGGATCATCGGCGACCACAGGATCCCTTCCAGGGACGTCGGAACCCCCAGGGGCCCTACCAGAGGCGCCACTTCCCATGAGCCCTATAGCTTGCTTGGTAGTTTTGTCGTACATATTGCATACGTCACGCAATCCCTTACTTAACTGTGATTGGTGGACTAAACTGTAAAAATACCAAAGTTAGCCAATAGGAAAACAGAGCAGTCAGTCAGCACAACACCCCAACTTATGTTTTCCTGTTGGATATATATTCTCCTTTATATTGTTCATGAGGCTATGATACTGGAAAAGCGTTGGGCTGTGTATTTATTTAACGTCATATCTATCATTGTTTTGAATGGTGCAAAAACAACTGCTCCCTGGAACCCTACGGGGACAGTGCCACCTGGCGCCTTCCCATTTGCTGTACAGGATGCGGCTACCCACCACGGGCCCTCTTAGGGGAGTCAGCGCACTCACGGGCCATCCCAGGGGCGGCGGACCTCCCAGGATCCCTCCCAAAGGCGGTGGCAAACCCGGGGACCCTTCCAGGAGCGGTAGCTAATGCAGGGGACCTTCCAGTGGCGGCGACGACCCTAGGGGCTCTCCCAGGATCATCGGCGACCACAGGGTCCCTTCCAGGGACGTCGGAACCCCCAGGGGCCCTACCAGAGGCGCCACTTCCCATGAGCCCTATAGCTTCCTTGGTCTTTTCTCGTACATATTGCATACGTCACGCAATCCCTTACTTAACTGTGATTGGTGGACTAAAATGTAAAATACCAAAGTTAGCCAATATGAGAACAAAACAGTCAGTCAGCACAACACCCCAACTTATGTTTTCCTGTTGGATATTTATTCTCCTTTACATTGTTCATGAGGCTATGATACTGGAAAAGCGTTGGGCGGTGTATTTATTTATTTAACGTCATATCTCACATTGCTTTGAATGGTGGAAAAACAACTGCTCCCTGGAACCCTACGGGGACAGTGCCACCTGGCGCCTTCCCATTTGCTGTACAAGATGCGGCTACCCACCAGGGTCCTCTCAGGGGAGTCAGCGCACTGAGGGGCCATCCCAGGGGCGGCGGAACACCCAGGATCCCTCCCAACGGCGGCGGCAAACCCAGGGGCCCTTCCAGGAGTAGTAGCTACTTCAGGGGACCTCCCAGAGGCGGCGACGTTCCTAGGGGCTCTCCCACAGGTGGAAGCAACCCCAGAGGCCATCCCAGGGGCAGCCCCACCGAAAGAGGACCCTCCAAGGTCAGCAAAGACCCAAGAGGCCCTCTCAGGGGCAGCGGCGACCCCAGGGGCCCTCTCAGTGGCATTGCCAAACCCAGGAGCTCTCCCAGGGACGGCAGCAACCCAAGGGGCACCTGCAGGGATGGCGGTGACCCCAGAGGCTCTCCCAGGATCATCGGCGACCACAGGATCCCTTCCAGGGACGTCGGAACTTCCAGGGGCCCTACCAAAGGCGCCACTTCCCATGAGCCCTATAGCTTGCTTGGTAGTTTTGTCGTACATATTGTATATGTCACGCAATCTTTTACTTAACTGTGATTGGTGGACTAAAATGTAAAAATACCAAAGTTAGCCAATAGGAAAACAGAGCAGTCAGTCAGCACAACACCCCAACTTATGTTTTCCTGTTGGATATTTATTCTCCTTTACATTGTTCATGAGGCTATGATATTGGAAAAGCGTTGGGCGGTGAATTTATTTATTTAACGTCATATCTCACATTGCTTTGAATGGTGCAAAAACAACTGCTCCCTGGAACCCTACGGGGACAGTGCCACCTGGCGCTTTCCCATTTGCTGTACAAGATGCGGCTACCCACCAGGGTCCTCTCAGGGGAGTCAGCGCACTGAGGGGCCATGTCAGGGGCTGTGGAACTCCCAGGATCCTTCCCAACGGCGGCGGCAAATACAGGGGCCCTTCCAGGAGTGGTAGCTACCGCAGGGGACCTCCCAGGGGCGGCGACGACCCTAGGCGCTCTCCGAGAGGCGGCAGCGACCCCAGGGGCGATCCCAGGGGCAGCCGCGCTAAAAGTGGACCCTCCAAGGTCAGCAAAGACCCAAGAGGCCCTCTCAGGGGCGGCAGCTACCCCAGGGGCCCTCTCAGGGGCGGTGCCAAATCCAGGAGCTCTCCTAGGGACGGCAGCAACCCAAGGGGCACCTGCAGGGATGGCGGTGACCCCAGAGGCTCTCCCAGGATCATCGGCGACCACAGGATCCCTTCCAGGGACGTCGGAACCCCCAGGGGCCCTACCAGAGGCGCCACTTCCCATGAGCCCTATAGCTTGCTTGGTAGTTTTATCGTACATATTGCATACGTCATGCAATCCCTTACGTAACTGTGATTGGTGGACTAAAATGTAAAAATACCAAAGTTAGCCAATAGGAGAACAGAGCAGTCAGTCAGCACAACACCCCAACTTATGTTTTCCTGTTGGATATTTATTCTCCTTTACATTGTTCATGAGGCTATGATACTGGAAAAGCGTTGGGCGGTGAATTTATTTAACGTCATATCTATCATTATTTTGAATGGTGCAAAAACAACTGCTAACTTTAACCCTACGGGGACAGTGCCACCTGGCGCCTTCCCATTTGCTGTACAAGATGCGGCTACCCACCACGGGCCCTCTCAGGGGAGTCAGCGCACTCACGGGCCATCCCAGGGGCGGCGGACCTCCCAGGATCCCTCCCAAAGGCGGTGGCAAACCCGGGGACCCTTCCAGGAGCGGTAGCTACTGCAGGGGACCTTCCAGGAACGGCGACGACCCTAGGGGCTCTCCCAGGATCATCGGCGACCACAGGATCCCTTCCAGGGACGTCGGAACCCCCAGGGGCCCTACCAGAGGCGCCACTTCCCATGAGCCCTATAGCTTCCTTGGTCTTTTGTCGTACATATTGCATACGTCACGCAATCCCTTACTTAACTGTGATTGGTGGACTAAAATGTAAAAATACCAAAGTTAGCCAATAGGAAAACAGAGCAGTCAGTCAGCACAACACCCCAACTTATGTTTTCCTGTTGGATATTTATTCTCCTTTACATTGTTCATGAGGCTATGATACTGGAAAGGCGTTGGGCGGTGTATTTATTTATTTAACGTCATATCTCACATTGCTTTGAATGGTGCAAAAACAACTGCTCCCTGGAACCCTACGGGGACAGTGCCACCTGGCGCTTTCCCATTTGCTGTACAAGATGCGGCTACCCACCAGGGTCCTCTCAGGGGAGTCAGCGCACTGAGGGGCCATCCCAGGGGCGGCGGAACTCCCAGGATCCCTCCCAACGGCGGCGGCAAACCCAGGGGCCCTTCCAGGAGTAGTAGCTACTTCAGGGGACCTCCCAGAGGCGGCGACGTCCCTAGGGGCTCTCACACAGGTGGCAGCGACCCCAGAGGCCATCCCAGGGGCAGCCGCGCTAAAAGAGGACCCTCCAAGGTCAGCAAAGACCCAAGAGGCCCTCTCAGTTGCAGCGGCGACCCCAGGGGCCCTCTCAGTGGCATTGCCAAACCCAGGAGCTCTCCCAGGGACGGCAGCAACCCAAGGGGCACCTGCAGGGATGGCAGTGACCCCAGAGGTTCTCCCAGGATCATCGGCGACCACAGGATCCCTTCCAGGGACGTCGGAACCCCCAGGGGCCCTACCAGAGGCGCCACTTCCCATGAGCCCTATAGCTTCCTTGGTAGTTTTGTCGTACAAATTGCATACGTCACGCAATCCCTTACTTAACTGTGATTGGTGGACTAAAATGTAAAAATACCAAAGTTAGCCAATAGGAAAACAGAGCAGTCAGTCAGCACAACACCCCAACTTATGTTTTCCTGTTGGATACTTATTCTCCTTTACATTGTTCATGAGGCTATGATACTGGAAAAGCGTTGGGCGGTGTATTTATTTATTTAACGTCATATCTCACATTGCTTTGAATGGTGGAAAAACAACTGCTCCCTGGAACCCTACGGGGACAGTGCCACCTGGCGCTTTCCCATTTGCTGTACAAGATGCGGCTATCCACCACGGGCCCTCTCAGGGGAGTCAGCGCACTGAGGGGCCATGTCAGGGGCTGTGGAACTCCCAGGATCCTTCCCAACGGCGGCGGCAAACCCAGGGGCCCTTCCAGGAGTGGTAGCTACCGCAGGGGACCTCCCAGGGGCGGCGACGACCCTAGGCGCTCTCCCAGAGGCGGCAGCGTCCCCAGGGGCCATCCCAGGGGCAGCCGCGCTAAAAGAGGACCCTCCAAGGTCAGCAAAGACCCAAGAGGCCCTCTCAGGGGCGGTGCCAAGTTCAGGAGCTCTCCTAGGGACGGCAGCAACCCAAGGGGCACCTGCAGGGATGGCGGTGACCCCAGAGGCTCTCCCAGGATCATCGGCGACCACAGGATCCCTTCCAGGGACGTCGGAACCCCCAGGGGCCCTACCAGAGGCGCCACTTCCCATGAGCCCTATAGCTTCCTTGGTAGTTTTGTCGTACATATTGCATACGTCACGCAATCCCTTACTTAACTGTGATTGGTGGACTAAAATGTAAAAATACCAAAGTTAGCCAATAGGAAAACAGAGCAGTCAGTCAGCACAACACCCCAACTTATGTTTTCCTGTTGGATATTTATTCTCCTTTACATTGTTCATGAGGCTATGATACTGGAAAAGCGTTGGGCGGTGTATTTATTTATTTAACGTCATATCTCACATTGCTTTGAATGGTGCAAAAACAACTGCTCCCTGGAACCCTACGGGGACAGTACTCCCTGGGGCCTTCCTATTTGCTGTACAAGATGCAGCTCCTCCAGGGGCCCTCTCAGGGCTCTCAGCGCCCTCAGGGGCCCTGCCAGGGAAGGCGGAACTCCCAGGAGCCCCCCCAAGGGCGGCGTCAACCTCAGTTGCCCTTCCAGGGGTGGTAGCCACCGCAGGGGACCTCCCAGGGGCGGCAGCGACCCAAGGGGCCATCCCAACGCCGGCAGCTACCCCAGAGGCCATCCCAGGGACGGTGCCGTCCCCATGTTCCCTCTCGGGGGCTCAGGCGACCCCATGGGCTCAAACAGGGACGGCAGCAGCCTGAGGGGCCCTTGCCAGGATAGCAGTGACCCCAGGGGCCATATCAGGGGAGGCGGCAATCCCAGGGGCCCTTCTAGGAGCGATAGCTACCTCAGGGAACCTCTCACGGGAGGCGACGACCCCAGGGGCTCTCCCAGAGGCGGCAGCGACCCCAGGGGCCATCCCAGTGACTGCACCGACACCAGAAGCCATCCTAGGGACGGAGGCGAACCCATGGGCCCTCTCAGGGGTGGCAGTGACCCCAGACACTCTCCCATTGGCCCTCCCAGGGTCCCTGGCGTCCACAGGATTCCTCCCAGAGGCGTCGGTGCCCTCAGGGTTCATCCCAGTTGAGGGGGCTTACCCAGGGGCCTCCCAAGGACGGCCTCGCCGCTAGGAGCCCTCACAGGGACAGCGAGGACCCCAGGAGCCATCGCAGGGGCGGCGGGGAACCCAGTATCAATTAGCAACAGCAGCGTCAGCCAACAGTACTTAGTAGCAACAGCAACCCTCAGTCAGCAGTAGTGCCCGACAGCAGTACAGAGTAAGACTGACTGGTGTGTCTACTGTCAGACGTCACCTGTTTGAATGAAGCATCGACCCATTCGTTCTGATCCATCCGAATCCCAGTTTACGAACGAAGATAATCAGTGTGTGTGTGAGTGTGTGTGTGTGTGTAAGCCTCCACATTATATAAGCAGTGCATCACATACACACACCACCACATAACCTTCATGATCTCTCAAATTCACAACATATCCCACAACCTCAGAGGTCAGAGGTCAAAGGTAAGTTGTTTCATCTCAAATTATTATTTTTTATTCTTTTTTCTTCAACACTAAAGAAAGTTTTTGTTCGCGTTAACGACATTAATAAGGTTAGCGAGGGTTAGGGGTGTGTGTGAGTGGGGGGGTAGAGGAAGGATATAGTTAGATTAAAGAGGGTGCAAAGGGAGAGTAGAAAAAGCTTAAGTAACAGGAGTGAAAACAGATCTGAGGATTGGGAGGAAGGGAGTGAGTGAGAGAGAAGTGAGGGAGGGAGAGAGGAAGGGAGGAAGGGAGGGAGAGAGAGAGAAGTGAGGGAGGGAGAGAGGAAGGGAGGAAGGGAGGGAGAGAGAGAGTAAGGGAAGGAGAGGAAGGGAGGGAGAGAGAGAGAGGAGGAGAGAGGAAGGGAGGAAGGAGGGAGGGTAAGGGAGAGGAAGGGGAGGGAGAGAGAGATAGTGAGGGAGGGAGAGAGGAAGGGAGGAAGGGAGGGAGAGATAGAGTAAGGGAAGGAGAGGAAGGGAGGCTGCGTAGGGCGACACTATGCTGGGATTGCGAATGAGAGATAATGGGGAGTTATGGGAGTGGGATTTGTGGTGATATAGAAGGAAGAGGAGGAGGAGGAGGAAGAGGAGGAAGGTTTAGAGATGTATAATAATGTATAGAAGTAAATAATCTGGGTATCTTAGCTATAATCATCGACTTATGGGTATAATTTTCCTGGATTATACAAACTGTGAAATATATCAATAAATTACAATTAATTCCGTCTGCTTCCTCAAAAATTTACCTTAAAGGATTTTAATTATGCTGTAACTAAAGGATCAAATATTATACCAACATATAAATAAGGTTTCAATGATTAAGAATACATAAATTTTAATATATAACTATTTAAAACATTAACATTCTTTTTCAATGGTCTTGTATGCAAATATTATCAGACAAAAGAGTTGAAACACGTATGTCCTCAGTGGTTATGTTTTTGCCCACTGTTTACATTTTGTTTAAAGGCTACGGTAAAAACAAATCATTATTTTCACTTCTCATAAAAATTAATAAAATGGATGAAAATTTGTGAGTTTACTGTATTTTGGGGAATTACTGGTCATAAAGATTTATATTTCTGATAATACTGATGTATACCAAATGTTGCTGTCACGTCCCTTTAATAATTGATGAATGTGTGTGTGTGTGTGTGTGTGTGTGTATGTGTGTGTGGATGGAACGGAAAGCGTATGCACAGAACATACTGCCACTAACTCTCCCTAAATCAAAGGTCGACAGACTTGTGCTGTAAGACTGCAGTTCAACCTAAAATATGACAAATAAAAATCATTAAAAAGTTGACAGAGGAACAAAAAATACCATTGAGATAAAAACATTGAAATAAAAGTATTCCAGGTGTCAATACTCAAAAAGTTAAATACAGATGGAAATTAAAACGATGATTTATGAAAACACAGAGAGAATAATGTACTGGATGTATGGCCAAGTAACGAACATGTAATACACGAGATGTAAACACAGTGAGGATAAGATAACAGGTTATTGAATATGAGAGTACAAAGACTCTTAACATTGACTACACAGAGGGAGCCTTAAAACTCCACTCCAGGCTGTGTTACGTTCTAGTGATCATCTGTTTGTTGATTCAAGATTTGGGAACAATATTTTTAAGGGTCTTACTGAACATGCTATTCAGTTTAATGGATTCAGATCACATTAGACTTTGTTCCTACAAATACAACTTACCAGTATTAATTTAATACGTTATAAAAGATTCAAGTGATAGCCAAAAAACGTATATGTATTATACTGTACCAGAATTGAGAGTGTAAATATGAAGCCGCTTTATACTGTACTTTCATTGTGTTTGACTGTTAAGGAAGGTTGTTAGAGACATTAATAGTGTGTGGGAATGTTTATGCATGACTTGTTAGAGATATGTCGTTTCAAGAATACAAAAGGCTCTTCCGTTTGAACCTGGAGAGACTATACGAAAGCAGAGGAGAAGAAGAGTATTGTGTCCATGGCTCATACTGCTGGAAATGGGAAGAAAGAAAGTTAGCAAGACAGATTGAAAACGACCCTGAGAGCCTCGCCTCCTCCAACTACGATTACGGTCACTACAGGAATTTCAGCTCAAACTTCACTACCGTTCTTATCCTTCTCAGTGTTCTCCTTAAGAGGCACAGAACGAGCAAGATAGAGTAGAGGAACATCAGCAAGTTGTGGTCGACAAGTTAAGGGCCTGCCTGTGTTATCGGCTCCCCCTTCGTCTTCCAGAACAAGAACAAGAATTTATTTTAAGAATCGATGCTTCAGCCGCAGGATTACGGACCATCATGCTGAGAGAGAGAGAGAGAGAGAGAGAGAGAGAGAGAGAGAGAGAGAGAGAGAGAGAGAGAGAGAGAAGTTGACCAGCTCCCGGAAGGAAACATAGTGAGGAGTTCCTAATGCCAAACTTTGTGGACAACTTTCTAGATATATCGTACAGCAAGAACTATCTCCCCTCCCCCCCACCCTCCTCCAACACCCCTACCCTCACCCTACTTATGACCGAACTCTCACCCTACTTATGACCGAACCCTCACTACTTATGACTGAATCGGAATTACTTTTAACCGAACCCTAACTATACTATTGACTGAACCCATACTACGTAATATAAATTCAGTCACAAATAATACGGATTCGGTTATAAATACTTAAATATAATATTTCAAGGGAGTGAATCTAAATCCCTCTAATACAAAGAAATGAAAAAAAACACATTAAAAAAAAAGGAACTAAAAAATAAAATAAAATAAAATAGTGTAGGATATATTCTTTAACTCACTGAAATAGACTTGTCATCCTCGTTAGT